TATTTATTTTTCTATGTTGAAATAAAATTGGAACTTATAGTCCTCTTCTATGATTTATTTTTTTATATATTTAATTGATATTTGGGTTTGTAGTCTTCTCTAGTATTTTGTTTTTATATGTTGAATTGGAATTAGGATTTATAGTCGTCTCATTTGTTTTATTTTTATTTATAAAATTGGAATTGAGACTTATAGTCCTCTATTATAATTAGACTAAATTATTTTGATTTGGTAGTTTGAATAATTTTATTGTGATAAGTTAAGTACTTCATATATCTAGGTTTAATTTACTATAATAATTATAGTTTAAATTAGTTTCTATAGTTTGTTAAAATTTAATGATGAATTTAAGTTTGTGATTGAATTAGTGATGAAAATTTTTCTTAAAATTTAATATATAATTGAACTCAATTTTGTGGTTCAAAATTTGTTTGTTAGGTCTTATAGATAAATCTATAATGAGTTTTTTTTGTTGACTCATTTTGTATATCGTTCACGTATATGAATTACGTCTTTAATTGGCGTTCTATTAATAAAATTATATTTTTGTAAATATTTTAAATTTTAATATTAATATAGTTTAGGTTGCTCCCACTGAAAAAGATGTATGGCTCCGCCCCTAGTCGTATATTGTGAAAAAACACATTTTTTTACAACGATTAAAAATTAAAATATGAATATTAAGATAAATAATCAAATTTATATGATGTGGTACGTTGTTATTATTTATGTAAGTTGTACATTGTGTTTTAAAATTGACTAGTGACATGTCCGTGCAAATATTTGAGATTTACAACTCGCCTTTTTTTTGTCTTATCTCCTTTACCCCTCTCTCATCTTTATTAATTAATGAGAAGTTTAAAAAATTGTAGGAGATAAAAATTAATTTTTTAAAAAAATATTCAAATAAATGATGTTTAGTTGGCGATTGAGTTGAAGAATGGTTATAGGAGCCAAGATTAAATAATGATTAGAGGAAACCTTATTTTAATATTAATAAAATTAAAATTCTAAAAATTTAGGAAATAGAAGGGTAGCTTCCCACGCCCTCACTTCCCTAATTTCTGTATATGTATTTATATATATATATTTGTGTGTGTGTGCATATGACCTATATATAATTCATATATAAATAATCTTTTTTTGTCTTTTACATTTTGTTTTTGGAACTTGAAAGGCCAAGACTTATGTATAAAAAAAAATTATCGATTTTAGATTACTATACAAATAGTGCAAGCAATATTTGAAAATATGAGTCGTCAAGTTACTTTTTTATTAACATGTGGAATAGATATTTGGACGAATAAAGAGGAAAATTTTGAAACGAAAACTTTACTAAAATGCCAAGCAAAGTAGAAATGTAGAATAAGATTCCCCTCCTATAAAGGGGTTATTGAATACTCAAGATGTCAACACACTTTCAATGGGTTGTTACATACTATTGAGAAGATGTAGATATACCTTCTCTCTTTATTTTTCTTCTCTGTTTTGCATAATCTTATTTGGGTATCACTAAAGTTCTATGAGAAAAAGTTAGAGAAAATTTAATAGATAAGAATGAATAGATTTTGAGAGGTCAGAAATGGAGTAATGATAAGTGTTCGTCCATTAGAACTTTGAAATCAACTCTTCTCATGAAAGATAAAGTTGTCCACCATTTACTTTTATTCAATCTAGCTGGAAATGGAACTATGTGGACATTAGACAAGGCCTTCTATTAGGTTGATTTTTAAAACTTTTCTATAAAACCCGGAAAATTTTAATTTTTTATGAAAAAATAGCAAAATGGTAATTAGCCACTATTTGTAAGGGGTTGAAAACTCAAGTTTTTCTAGAACTCGGATGACGAAATATATCTCACCGTTGGATTTGTTTTGTGAAATCTAAAATTTCATTCAATTCCGAAACAATCATATTTTCACGTTTTACGAGGTGAGCGAATATCACATGACCAAAATAAATGTGATCAAGAATAAATTGCAAAACGTGAAAACTAATTTAAAGTTAGTTCAAATAAAAATATATTAAACTTGAAACGAGATAAGATTTAATTGATTCGAGGCAATATTAGACCTGAGAAAGACAAACATGTGGTGCAACGAGGATCAAGTATCCAAGGGGGTATAAAAAGGGAGAAAAATTAGATTTTTCCCCCAAATTGGTTGTGTTGATTTTCGTTGGAGAGAAAGAAGGAAGAATAGAGAGAAAAATCAAGGGTTCTTGTTCTTCTTCTTGTGATTTAGGGCCAACCTTTGATCGAAATCATTTGGGTTAAGAACCAAAGTTCATCTACTCGACGAGGACTGTGTCTACGTATCAAAAATTGTGAGTTTTGACAAAGTCTCATAGATAAAAAATTTTGAAATCAAAGCTTGAAGCTTGATTGGGGTTCTTGGGAGCTTCCTACTACGTGTATTACGCTTCAAGAGATATGATTTTTCTCTTAGTTAGGTTTATTTTCAACTTAAGGTTTCATATGAAATGGGTAGCACGACTTAAGATGAATTCTCAGGTCTAAATGAAATTCTAGTGTAACTAGAGTATGAGAAATAGTATGAGAATGAATAAAATTAATTTTGCATGAATTGGATATTGTTGAATTGCGTGTTTTTAATTTCATGAGAAATGTGTTGATTGAACATTGATTATGTGTTACATGATTATGTGCTATAACGGTGTTTGATAAAATGCCTAGGTTGATTTAGCATAGTTGTTTCATTGAAAATGTTATAACATGCTTAGTGAGAATATAATTGTAATTTATATGCATATGATATAAATTGACAATTGAGAATGTTGTTGAGATGAAATGTTGTTCATATTGTGTTCATGATATGTTAAACATGATGTTGATATTACAATTGAAAACTTGGTTGTATAATGATACGAAATGCAATGGTACATTACGTTGCATATGCACAGGTAGTATCACATTCGTGGACATATGACATGAGTGTGGGTGTATGTGCATGATTTTGGTCAAATATTATTCTTGGTGAGTGATGCGCTGGCTCGAAAAAGTTGGACCAAGGTTCGACTGAGTTGCATGAGTTTACATTGCAAATAGAATCGTGGTTAGCAAGAAGAGCTAAATTGTCCCTCGAATGCAAGCCCCGGTGGTTTGGATACGCACTCCGTTGGTATTGAGTCCATAAAGTGTGTCAGCGTATGCGGAGCCGTTGGGGGAAGTTCATAAATGTTGTGTCAGTTGGGTGNCTCTTTGCTACCTCCTCCGAAGGGCAGTAGCAACGATTAACTCCAGGGTTAAACCTAGATATATATATATATATGATTCACAAGTTAAAATGTGATATAAGTAAAGATTAATGGGAATAGATGAAATGAAGTTGCAGGATGAGTTTAGTAACTGACCAGGTGCGATGGCAGGTATTGAGGTCTGTAATGACTGTCACAAAAATTACTTTCTTCTGCAAGCCTTGCCATTTTAGAACCCACAAAGGGATATGTTGCATAAGAGGATGGACACTGATGATAATATCGGGCTTGTACTCCATTAGACCAGCCTCAACCTCTCTTCAGCCAAACAATGTAACCAATATCAGAAACCTTCAAAAACACTAACATGTCCGCCTAGAATTGACTTCTTCTTTTACCACATAAATTAAACAAATAAACTTTCTCACAGCAATAATTGAGTTTCGTGTGCATAGGAAGCAACCAATCAGCAATCATATTTAACTTCAAACCAATTGATTAAGTGACAAGTGTAAAATGAAAGCATCATTTTAAAAGAAAACCAAAAGCAAAGACAAAAGTGAAATTCATAAAGAATACTGAAGGCGTTAGAATACACATTGTTTTATGGTATCATAGATATTTTACTACATCATAGTGGTGACCAAACTGAAGTATCGAAGCATATAAATGAAGGTCATATTAAGTAATGACAACTTGCTGGCCTAAACAGTATTAAAAATATCTGAGAGTTTAGCCTGAATGTGATATAGGAAGAAAAAAAATATACTTGGCATAGAAGGCGGCAATGGCAGCAAGATAGACAGAGTGTATCCATCGAGGAGAAGTACTGTGAAATGTGAGATTCCAAAGCTGTACATGTTTAACCATAAACTTATACTGCCGCTCCATATCATTCAACGGCCAGCCGGTGTACTCCTTCCAAACATCCTTGACAAAAATCTGCAAACAAAAGACAACACATTGAAAAAGGAATAAAAGCAATGCACTACAGTCTACATTAGGACCATCAAAACCTTGTAACCTATTACTATCAAAAACTTCTCATGACAATGATACCATGACACATAAGGTAGACCAAAGATGGAGATACATATTTAACAATATATGAAAATTCAAAAATTCATCATTACTTAAGATTTCAAGGAAAAGAAAAATAATAATGGACGATGGAAAAGCCAAAGCCATCAATTATGGAGAAATTTCGAGGAAACCGTCAAACAAGATAATAGCATCATACCACTTCATCTTTTAGAGAGCCATCAATTATGGAGAAATTTCGGGGAAACCGTCAAACAAGATAATAGCATCATACCACTTCATCTTTTCTCAAAAAGCAAAACAGTTGATTTCTGTTTGTCATTTGTAAAGAAATCAAAAGGACAGAAAATTGGAAACAGAGAGGATCTTAACAAAGCCAAGAGTACTATGATACATTAGGAACAGAATAACACCCATAAGGGCCATATCATCATGAGAAAGAGAAAGAAGGAAGAAGGAAGAAACTATGGGTCACATAATAAAAAAAATTGCATAAAATGCCCAATAATCTGATCCCTAATTGTAACACCAAAGATCAAAAATACAAACTCAGACGACAAACATTCTATAATTAACTTAGAATGCAATCATACAAAAGCAGAGCACAAAATACCCTTGATTAATAAAAAATTACAAGATCCAGAAAGGACACTATTCTCTCTTCCTGAGCATTGATGGTTTGATGTCTTGGGTGCTTTCATGGGTGTTTTAGATTAAGTCTATCCTTTTAGGAAATACCCCCAAATTCCAATCTTCACACATCACAATTGGCCCAAGAAGAAGCTCTATGACCACAAAACACTGGCATAGAACACTCAAACATCGAAATCAAATGAACATAACAGAAAGTACTCTGCTTTATCTATGCCTATAAACACAAGCACAACAAGTATATATGCCTTTACTCAGAATTCAAGCAAATAGAAAACCTGAAGAGGGAGAAGGCAAAATCAATTCAATTACCCTGTATTCATCCCCAAATTCCAATTTGAATGCATCACGAATCGCCTCAGCCGAAGCTCGATGACCACCACCAGTATCACTCATCAAGATCAGCACATTCTTGGTCCTCTCAGCACCAATCTGCACCATTTCCATGGTGTCATCTTCATCCTGAATATCATACTTGCATCTCTTCTGGCTGCTCCCTCCTCCAAAACCATATACCCCAACTCTCTGAAAGACATTATTTATTGATTTCCTTGGCGACTCCACCTTCATCACCATACCTATATCTACAATCCAAACAATTCTCTGTATACAGATAGATATGTTATTGAATATATCTAACTGCAACCCACCAAAAAATTACAAACCCAGGAAGATCCTGCAATTTGACTCCTCATCAACCACTGACAAATGAGTTTCCCGGAAGGAGAGAGAAAGTTAATAAAGGAAAAGGCAGGGACTTGTGNTATATCTAACTGCAACCCACCAAAAAATTACAAACCCAGGAAGATCCTGCAATTTGATTCCTCATCAACCACTGACAAATGAGTTTCCCGGAAGGAGAGAGAAAGTTAATAAAGGAAAAGGCAGGGACTTGTTGACAGAGATATAAGCCTCAATGAATGAATCTAAGACCTAACCACCAAAAGAAACAAAAAAACAGAGACCAAGGAATTGACTTCTCCCACGACCACGGAAAATGGGTGAAGTTGAGGAAAGAAGATGCAGAAACTTGTAAGGAAAGGTCCCCAAATATAAATAATGATGAAGAAGCTTATAAATGTATTTAACACCCACCCATCAAACGAATTCAAAAAACCAAGACCTGACCTCCCCTATAGCCACCGGAAAATAGGTTTTCCGGCGGGAGAGGAAGCTGAGGGAGCAGAACGAGATGTAGAGAGAGAGACACACACACAGGATGGGCTGGCAAAATCGCCGAAATGATTGGCTTATGTGTGCAGCGTCGTTGTTAAGAGGGGGGGGGGGGGNGGGGGGGGGGGGGGGGGGGGGGGGGGGGGGGGGGGGGGGGGGGGGGGGGGGGGGGGGGGGGGGGGGGGGGGGGGGGGGGGGGGGGGGGGGGGGGGGGGGGGGGAGTTAATTGATATGCTCCAAGAAATATTTGGTGGCTGTTTGCGAGGAATTTACAGCCGTCGGATTCCCATAGGGGTCGCGGAAGTTTCAGCTGGGTATATTAGAATATTTGCCGATTTGGCTTGTAGTATTTGCTCCGATGCACCTTTATTTTAGGGGATATTTTCTTTTAATTCCACTACTTATTTTTTAATTTTTTGCTTGTGTCCATATATAAACATTGGTCGTATACAGATACAGTGCGGCAGCTGCCCCACTGGAATTTTAAAACTTTTTGGGGATTAAGTATAATTTTAAAAAATTTAAAATTTATTAGAGATTTGTCCCTACATAATTTTTTAAAAAACATTTAGGATAGTTACGTTATTTTAACAAATATATGAGTTTCACTTATAAATTTTAATGAAAAATGATATCAAAAATTTGGACAATTAAAGATTAACTAATATGCTCGAAATAGGTTAGTCCTCTCATTTGTTTTATGTTTATACATTGAACTAAATATAGAGCTTGTAGTCTTTTTCTTTGTTTTATGTTTATTTGTTAGAATTGGAAATTAGGGTTTGTAATCCTCTTTTGTGNATATTTTCTTTTAATTCCACTACTTATTTTTTAATTTTTTGCTTGTGTATAAATATTGGTCGTATACAGATACAGTGCGGCAGCTGCCCCACTGGAATTTTAAAATTTTTTGGGGATTAAGTATAATTTTAAAAAATTTAAAATTTATTAGAGATTTGTCCCTACATAATTTTTTTAAAAAAATTTAGGATAGTTAGGTTATTTTAACAAATATATGAGTTTCACTTATAAATTTCAATGAAAAATGATATCAAAAATTTGGACATTTAAAGATTAACTAATATGCTCGAAATAGGTTAATCCTCTCATTTGTTTTATGTTTATACATTGAACTAAATATAGAGCTTGTAGTCTTTTTCTTTGTATGTTTATTTGTTAGAATTGGAAATTAGGGTTTGTAATCCTCTTTTGTAGTTTATTTTTTAAATGTTGAATTGAAATTAGCGTCTGTACCTCTATGTTGTATTTTATTTGTTACATGTTGAATTGAAAATATGAAATCGGGACTTGTAATCATCTCTTATGTTTTATTTTTTATGTATTGAATTGACACTAGGGTTTGTAGTCCTATATTTATTTATTTTTCTATGTTGAAATAAAATTGGAACTTATAGTCCTCTTCTATGATTTATTTTTTTATATATTTAATTGATATTTGGGTTTGTAGTCTTCTCTAGTATTTTGTTTTTATATGTTGAATTGGAATTAGGATTTGTAGTCGTCTCATTTGTTTTATTTTTATTTATAGAATTGGAATTGGTACTTATAGTCCTCTATTATAATTAGACTAAATTATTTTGATTTGGTAGTTTGAATGATTTTATTGTGATAAGTTAAGTACTTCATATATCTATGTTTAGTTTACTATAATAATTATAGTTTAAATTAGTTTCTATAGTTTGTTAAAATTTAATGATGAATANTTAATTGATATTTGGGTTTGTAGTCTTCTCTAGTATTTTGTTTTTATATGTTGAATTGGAATTAGGATTTATAGTCGTCTCATTTGTTTTATTTTTATTTATAAAATTGGAATTGAGACTTATAGTCCTCTATTATAATTAGACTAAATTATTTTGATTTGGTAGTTTGAATAATTTTATTGTGATAAGTTAAGTACTTCATATATCTAGGTTTAATTTACTATAATAATTATAGTTTAAATTAGTTTCTATAGTTTGTTAAAATTTAATGATGAATNGTTATATGAGTTTGGATGGATGTAGTATGAAATTGGATGAGTTAGAGTTGAAAAAGAGTTGAATCAGGGGCAAACTGGACACTTTTATCTGTGGAACATTGACTATCTACTGGTGAAAGAATTCCAGTAGGCACTTCTATCGGTAGAACATCGAGTATCTACTAGTATAAAATTTTCAATAGTCATTTTTATCGGTAGAACGTAGAGTATCTACCAGTAGGTCATCTTAAATTTTTAGAAATTAAAATAATCTTGACAAGCCTTCGGGTCTTGAATCCTTTCGTTCAGGNTCCCACTGAAAAAGATGTATGGCTCCGCCCCTAGTCGTATATTGTGAAAAAACACATATTTTTACTACGATTAAAAATTAAAATATGAATATTAAGATAAATAATCAAATTTATATGATGTGGTACGTTGTTATTGNTTTTTTTGTTGACTCATTTTGTATATCGTTCACGTATATGAATTACGTCTTTAATTGGCGTTCTATTAATAAAATTATATTTTTGTGAATATTTTAAATTTTAATATTAATATAGTTTAGGTTGCTCCCACTGAAAAAGATGTATGGCTCCGCCCCTAGTCGTATATTGTGAAAAAACACATTTTTTTACAACGATTAAAAATTAAAATATGAATATTAAGATAAATAATCAAATTTATATGATGTGGTACGTTGTTATTGTTTATGTAAGTTGTACATTGTGTTTTAAAATTGACTAGTGACATGTCCGTGCAAATATTTGAGATTTACAACTCGCCTTTTTTTTGTCTTATCTCCTTTACCCCTCTCTCATCTTTATTAATTAATGAGAAGTTTAAAAAATTGTAGGAGATAAAAATTAATTTTTTAAAAAAATATTCAAATAAATGATGTTTAGTTGGCGATTGAGTTGAAGAATGGTTATAGGAGCCAAGATTAAATAATGATTAGAGGAAACCTTATTTTAATATTAATAAAATTAAAATTCTAAAAATTTAGGAAATAGAAGGGTAGCTTCCCACGCCCTCACTTCCCTAATTTGTGTATATGTATGTATATATATATATATTTGTGTGTGTGTGCATATGACCTATATATAATTCATATATAAATAATCTTTTTTTGTCTTTTACATTTTGTTTTTGGAACTTGAAAGGCCAAGACTTATGTATAAAAAAAAATTATCGATTTTAGATTACTATACAAATAGTGCAAGCAATATTTGAAAATATGAGTCGTCAAGTTACTTTTTTATTAACATGTGGAATAGATATTTGGACGAATAAAGAGGAAAATTTTGAAACGAAAACTTTACTAAAATGCCAAGCAAAGTAGAAATGTAGAATAAGATTCCCCTCCTATAAAGGGGTTATTGAATACTCAAGATGTCAACACACTTTCAATGGGTTGTTACATACTATTGAGAAGATGTAGATATACCTTCTCTCTTTATTTTTCTTCTCTGTTTTGCATAATCTTATTTGGGTATCACTAAAGTTCTATGAGAAAAAGTTAGAGAAAATTTAATAGATAAGAATGAATAGATTTTGAGAGGTCAGAAATGGAGTAATGATAAGTGTTCGTCCATTAGAACTTTGAAATCAACTCTTCTCATGAAAGATAAAGTTGCCCACCATTTACTTTTATTCAATCTAGCTGGAAATGGAATTATGTGGACATTAGACAAGGCCTTCTATTAGGTTGATTTTTAAAACTTTTCTATAAAACCCGGAAAAAATTAATTTTTTATGAAAAAATAGCAAAATGGTAATTAACCACTATTTGTAAGGGGTTGAAAACTCAAGTTTTTCTAGAACTCGGATGACGAAATATATCTCACCGTTGGATTTGTTTTGTGAAATCTAAAATTTCATTCAATTCCGAAACAATCATATTTTCACGTTTTACGAGGTGAGCGAATATCACATGACTAAAATAAATGCGATCAAGAATAAATTGTAAAACGTGAAAAATAATTTAAAGTTAGTTCAAATAAAAATATATTAAACTTGAAACAAGATAAGATTTAATTGATTCGAGACAATATCAGACCTGAGAAAGACAAACATGTGGTGTAACGAGGATCAAGTATCCAAGGGGTATAAAAAGGGAGAAAAATTAGATTTTTCCCCCAAATTGGCTGTGTTGATTTTCGTTGGAGAGAAAGAAGGAAGAATAGAGAGAAAAATCAAGGGTTCTTGTTCTTCTTCTTGTGATTTAGGGCCAACCTTTGATCGAAATCATTTGGGTTAAGAACCAAAGTTCATCTACTCGACGAGGACTGTGTCTACGTATCAAAAATTGTGAGTTTTGACAAAGTCTCATAGATAAAAAATTTTGAAATCAAAGCTTGAAGCTTGATTGGGGTTCTTGGGAGTTTCCTACTACGTGTATTACGCTTCAAGAGATATGATT